TCATTGACAAGTGCATTCATTGCTGCTGAAGATAAAAGTGCAGACTAGACTGGGATGAAGAATCCATCCACTTAACAGCTCCTAACAAGTAGAGGAAACCTGTTAAAAAGAACTTCTTCACTGTTTAAATATTCTTCAGAATTCTGAAGCTATTTTCCCCACCTACAGGAGAGTTTTGTGAGTGCAGCTGAGAGTTAAAGCAGGAAAATATCTGAAAGTGCTTAACAGCACCGCCATTGTAGGAAAGTGACCTGTGAGCAGTTAAAGCATTGATTCATGTAGTGATTGGAACCGGGAATCCAAGATAGAGGATGGGAAAAATTTGTGGCTGTATGAGCTGCTCCTTTTCTGAGGAATTTTCAGTGTTGGAACAGATTTCCTCAAATTCTAGGAGCAGTAATTACTGTTTTATAAGCTGTTGCATTGTTTCGGATCTTTGGGGAGAAAAGATCAAAACAATGGCACTTTAAAAAGGAGGAAGACAGACAAAGGCAGTGACCACATGGGAAGTGAATCAAACAGAGAAATAAACCTGCACTGCTGTCTGACTCAGCAGTGAATCTGCACAACTCACTGGTCTGCTGCTTGATTTCAAGTGTCTCTGGACATTGGAGTTCATCCAAGAAAAATTAACAAACAGCGAAATTCACAGCTGACCTTGGAGAAACCTGTGTGGGAGAGCTCACAGCAGGGGGGTGGCAGCTAAGCGGCTTTTTAAAGTGTAACCTTACTTTTTTTTGTAAATCTACAATAGCATGTAGAATGGGTTCTTTTTTGAAAATATGTTTTATTGAAACAATTACAACATTTAAAAGGCATCTGAATGGATATATGAATAGCAAGGGTTTAGATGGATGTGGGCCAAATGCTGGCAAACGTGACTAGATTTATTTGGGAGATCTGGTTGGCATGGACAAGTTGGACCGAAGGGTCTGTTTCCATGCTGTACATCTCTATGACTTTTTAACACTATGACTCTAACTGTGGCCAGGTAGATGTCATTCACTATGATATCCTTGATTGGGCCAATCAGGGAGTCCTGGCTGACAGATAGAAACAGGAGATTCAGAGGGTCTCGTCATTATAGGGGCTGGCTCTGAGCTGGCTGGTCAGAGCCCATGAACTGTGCACATGTAAATAAAGGGTGACTTGGTGACAGGATACTGGCCTCTGTGCATTATTTCAATTCAGGAACACAGAGCTCATTTGACCCTAGAAAAGCTGGAATAACCTTGCATCACAGTGAAAAGTCTAGAAAGCATTAAAAATCTGATTAAAAATTGAAAGATGACCACAAAATGGATTTACGAACTTAATTTACCTTTATCTGGCAAATCTTTGAGCTGTATTTTCTGCACTTCAACTTTTCTGAAGCAGATAAACCTGCCATTAAAAATTATTCTAGGGAAGGCCTCCACTAATTGGACATTGCAGGTAGTCCAACGACTATCTTAAGAATTCAGATGAAATATGGCCAGCATTTAAAGATCAATTACATGTGGAGATCAACTTCTGAGCACACCATTTGCAATTTATATCCATTTGACAACATTTTTTTTAGAGACCTGAGATCAATTCATAACTAGATGCACAAACAAAGGGTGTTATTGCAACCTCACAGCAGCAGAGTTAGCTGATGGGATAATTGAGCTCACTATCCATTCATCTACCTGATGGCAGAGTTCTATAAAGGACATTGTGGACCTTGGTTCGGAGGAGGTTTACTGCAATGCTACCTGGAATGAATGGATTTGTTTCCTGTGGAGTTTCCTAGGACTTAATTGAAATGTATGAGATTCTGAAACATCTTGACCAAGTGATTGGGAAAAGGATGTTTCCTCTTTTGGGTCAGTCCAGAACTAGGAGGCGCTGTTTTAAAATTAGATGGTTCCTCTTTTCGGACAGAGGTGAGGGGAATGATTTATTTTTCTGCTCAGAGGGTTGTGCGACTTTGGAACTATCCACCTCAGAAGGTGGTGAGGCAGGGTAATTAAATGTTTTTAAGATTAAATCTTGTTGCTAAGGGCATCAAAGGTTTTTGGGATTCACCAAAACATTGTTAGACTCAGCTGCAGAGGTTCATTAACAACAGGGCAGAAATGTGGAATTCACAACACAAACATATCAGCCATGATTGTTTTGAATGGTAGAGCAGGTTAGAGGGGCTGAATGACCCACTTCTGCTCCTAAGCCACAAAATTTTTAACCCAAATGTTACACATCAGAAGCACTACTACAAAGTGGGTGCAAGCGTAAATGATTTGGCACAGTCTACAGGGCATGTGCAATTCAACCACCATTAGCACAATAGCCAATGTATCCAAGCCTAGTAAGTAACGTGGGTTATGCAGCCACAAAAAAATTCACAGAATTTAACAAGGCATATGGTACCAGAACACATTGGAAGCACTAACACAAGGCACAAAGACCAAACCAAGCAGCTCAACATCAAAGGAAGTTACAACCAAAGACCAAGCTTGTTAATAGCCTAACCAACCAGGAAGTCTTACCGAACAAAGACAAGATCCACAAAATGTCTAGCCGGGTTGTATGATCAGATGGTGAGGATGACCAGACCATGAACACACGACATGAGATACCCTTTAGCACAGAGACCATCAAAGAATGTTGTACAATATGAGGCCATCTATTAATTCTACTGGATAAGCTAAACTGCAGAAAGAAATCTGGCTTGATCAATTTTTTTTTTAGTTAATGTGGTAATGATTCACCAAAACATTTTTGCACAAGGCTGCAGAGTTTCTTTAACAACAGGACAGAAGTTTATTACGCAAAAGAGAAAAAGAACTAAAAATCAAGCTATTTAAATATGGAACACTTAGGAAAAAGCTTAAAAGACACAGCAAAAAACAAAGTTTCAAACTGGCTTCTGATTCTAGTTGTTACAGAGACTCAAATCCAAAGAAATAATTCCCCATATCAAATCTTTACTTTCTCCTCAACTGATTCTCCCCTATTTCTGGCTTGTGAATTGTAGAGTCTTCTTACTCACAAATCAGAGACCATAAACCTTCTCATCTTTTAATATCTGCAGATTTCTAATCAAACACTCCTTGTTTTGAAGCTTCTCAAATTAAACTTTTCTACTTTTTGGGCCACCTCTGAACTTTCCTGGAAACTTTTAATCTCTGTCTTTTCTAAACTCAAATGAATCCTTTATTGTTCTGAACTGAAAACCAGCTGATGGTCTTCAATGTTTACTCCACCTATCTTAAAACACCATAGTAAAAACAATTTTCCAAGAAAACTCCAGGGGCTCGCAATTATCTGCTCTATGACACATATTGGATTAGGTCACTATTTTGGAAGGACTGTCTGACCTAGATCTTATATTTTTAAGAAATATCTTCATAAAAGTAACCAACAGTCATACGAAATCACTTTTAGAAAGTGGATTTTCAAAAATATTTTGAAAATCCACTCTCTAAAAGTGATTTCGTATCCCTTTCATCACAGTACCAATGGAAGCATAACCTGTTACCATCTAGATTATTTTCACACATATGGACCCCAAAAATAGGTGTTAAGTTGTTCCTGATTAATATTGCAATTTGGATATTGGTGAATCAGGAGCCCAACTTACAGCCACAAAGATTTTTAAAATTAATTTAAATAATGGAAGAAAAATTTGCCTTCATAAATTCTGTTTCATAACCTTAGGTTGCACCAAAGTGCTTTACAATCAATAAAGTTTGAAGTACAGTCACTGTTGTAGTGTAGGTAATATGGAAACCAATTCAAATGCTCCCACAAACAGTAATGTAATAATGACCAGATAAACTGTTTCAGTGGTGTAAGTTAAAAGATTAGTATCATTTAGGATACCAACTCACAACTTCCTTGAAATAGTGCTGTAAGGCCATTTATATCCATCTGAGATAGCAGATGGGGTCTTGGTTTAATGTCTCATCCAAAAGGCAGCACCTCCAACGGTGAAGCACCTTGTTTCTACTGTGGTGGAATGACAGACTGGATTTTGTGCTTAAATCTCTGGAATGGGGTTTCAACTCTTCACTCTGAGACAGATATGCTTCAAACAAAGACATGACTGTCAATGGAAAATTATGCCTGGTCAGAAAGAGCTAAAAATTTGCTTTTGTCCAATTTTTTGAAAGACTAGCCAGGACCAATTCACCCACAGTGTGTCGGAATGCTCGTCATTCTTGTTTGCACCAGAGGGGGCAATGCAACTGCCTTCAACCTGTTACAACAGACAAACGACCTAAGGGGTGAAATTTGCATAGTGGCAATACTAGACTTGAAGAACTTGAGTCACATAGCAGCCTATGGTGCCACCTCCCCAAGGGGATTGAGGTAAGTCTACACTATGCAAATAAATTTCTGACCCAATGTGCCCTCTGTCTAACCATGAGCAGAGTTATGGGAGAATCCCCAATGTATAGCAACATGTTCCCCACACAGCACAACCTTTTGAGTTATTCAGTTTGTTTCTCTTTGAATGTAAACCATGCACGGTAAGATGTTTAGTGAATGATTTGCAAAGAGAACCATTTGCAGTTTAGAAACATCTTATGCTGCTACCATATGGGTATTGGGATAAAGAACTTAAAATAGGAAGCAATGTCTCATTTCTTTTGTTTTAACCAGGGTTTGTTATATGAAGACAGCACAAATATGATCAGTTGTAAACCTATGAAACAGAGCCTCCTTCTGTTTACGGAGGAATGCTTTTCAATTAAGCGAGTTATACTTTCAAGTGTACTATCTCCAAGTACTTTATTTCATTGCTTCAATGTCTTGTAGCATTTAATTAATACTGACATACTGACACAGTAATGAGGAGGCTTTCTGTACATCTGCTAAGTAACTGATCTGACAATGCCAAGGTGTTCCAACAGGAAATAACGTACTGTAAGGCATTGCTGAATATCCAGGACTTTGTGAAGACTGTGGTAATATAACAGCGCTCTGAACTCAAACTAAACTTGCCATTGGTATCCTGCCTCTCACTGATTCAGGAAAACTTGACTGGGGAGAAAGGGGAAGATAAAGATCAAGTGGTTACTGGAACCGAAGTGATGGCAACCAAAAATGGCAAATCCTGGGATGAAAAAATGAAAAACTTTAAAATTTTTCTGTGGAACCCGGAAAGGAGAGAATTCTTGGGAAGAACATCCAGGAGTTGGTGTGAGTAAAACTAACTGCACATTTGATGCTGGCTTATGGTTGCAGATGGCCACAAAGGTTGAGGCCAGTGAAAAGTTAATTTCAGAATCACATCATGCATCCATAGCGAATGGATTTTGAGCCACTTTAAAGTGTCAGTAATATGAATTTTCATTTAAAAGACTAAGGCACTGTGATTAATTAGAAAAGCTAACAGCGCTAAAGAATAAACTGACAATAGAAGAGTGCAGATTTAAAATAGTTTTCACATTAAAAATACAATGGGAATACTATGTTCAAGCAGCATTCAATTCTGATTCAATACGTAATGTAAGATTTTGTAAATAACACAGCATGTTAATTAATACAAGTTAATTAACACAGCAGACAAACTAATAGGAATAGTTAATTGTGAAGACCCTGGCAAATGTGTGTGAGTGTGCAGAAGCATTCAAGAATTAGGAGCATGAGTAAACCACTTCATCTTGCTCCACAATTCAATAAGATCATTACTGTGGCCTCAAAGGACTTAGGAACATAAGAATAGGAGTAGGTTATTCAGTCGTTTGAGACTACTTAGCCATCCAATATCATGACTGATTATCTCAGTGCCACTTTACTGCCCTATCCACATATTCTTTGGTTACATTTGCTACTTCCCAGTCCACAGGAACCTTTCCAGATGCTACAGAAGTTTGGAAGATAACCACCAATGCACCCACTCTCTTATAGCCATCTCCTACAACACTCTGGCATGAAACTCATCTGGTCCGAGGATTTACCAAACTTCTATCCGGTTAACTTTTCAATTATTATCTCTTTACTAATACTAATTTCTCACAGCTTCTCATTTTCACAAGGCCATTGGTTGCTTAGTATTTCTGAGAGATTTTCGGTATTTTCTTCTGTGAAGACAAAATGCAGAGTAATGCTTTAGTTTCTCTGTTATAAATTGTCCCATCTCCGTCTATAATAGGCCCACATTTGTCCAAGCTATTCTTTTCCTTTCTCATAACTGAAGAAGCTTTTAGAGTCTACCGTGATGTTTCTCACCAGCTCACATTCGTATTCTTGGTACCTATAATACTCACATTAAAAACATCTCTAATTTCCTCATTCATACCATGCCCAACATTAGCATTACTGTTTAGTGGCATATACACATCTCCCACGTATGTTAGCTGCTCTGGCTGTATCTTAGCTCCATTCAACAGATGCTATGTCATGACTACTTGATCTAAGATCCACTCTTACTAACATTCTAATCACTTCCCTTATTAAGAGTGCTATATCACCTTCCTTTCCCCTCTGCCTATTCTTCTAAATGATGAACATCCTTGGATATTCAGGTTCCAATCTTGGTCATCCTGTAGCCATGTCTCGTTAATGGCAATTACATTAGATCCATTTACTTCAATCTGTTCCTTCTGTGAATTGTAAATGGCTTCAGATAGAGTGTCTTTAACTCTGCCGTTTAAATATTATTCTTATTCTGATCCAATTTGATGCCTTCTCTTTCTTCGAATTTTGCTGTCTACTTTTCTACTTCCCATTAGCAGTTTTGCTTCACTCCATTCTGAATTTCCTCTAAGGTTCTCATCCCCTGTCAATTTAGTTCAAATCCTCAAATAAAGCAAAGAACTTTGGATGCTGGAAATCTGAAAGAAAAACAGAAATTGCTGGAGAAACTGAAATCTGTGGTGAATATTTTATGGTGGAATAAGATGAATAAGATCACCTCTTGTTCTTCTAAACTCCAAACTTCCTAATATAACCCTTTAATTCCTGGAATCACTCGAGTGAACTGCTTCTGTAATTGTATCCTTTTGTTGAGGAAGAAGACCAGAACTGTGTACAGTGCTCCAGATGTGATGTCAGTAATGCTTTACACAACTTCCCTACTATCAAGTCTGATGAAGAGTCACCGGGTTCAAAACGTTAAATCTACTTTCTCCCCACAGATTCTGGTAGATCTGCTGAGTTTTGCCAGCACTTTCTGTTTTTGTTTCATATCTCCAGTGTCTGCTGTTCTTTGTTTTATTCCCCTATATACTGGATGGAATATAAAAGATGGAGTAACACATGAAATTTTGTATAAGTATTCCAAAAGGAATAGAGATGAATTCATAATCCTGTTACACCTCACTGGAGTGGCGCACTGGAAGTCAAGCCCTGCTACTCCTGGGGTCCCCACAATTTCATCAAACATTTTCATCAAAGTATGCAAAGTCCCAAATTTACCTGTCTGCTTCTTTACTTAACAAGACTAGCTATTCATTACAAACAAATAGATTCTAACCACAGGTAAACAACTATGAACTGTCAACAAATAGCTTTACTAGTTAAAACTGTAACCCCTTTTTAACCTTCCCTCCCCCACAACGCACACTTACAGAGACAGACAGGCAAAACAGAAAATATTGTTAGAGATGGGGGGAAATGGCCTAAGTGTGTAGGGAAGGCAAATTGCAAAATATTCATTTAACACCCCAGCCACGCTTTTTGTCTTTAAGTGTAAATCCCCTTTTTGATTGCTAAAAAACTGGGTCAATTTCTCCTTTTACTATCCTTTTACTATTAATGTGTTTACAGATTTCCTTTTGGGTTAGCTGCTTATCTATTCAATTAATCACTTTTTGCTTCATCTGATTGCTTTTTCACTTCAATTCTGAATATTCTGAATGCATCTTGTAGCATTTGGTCATGGAACAACATTTGAAAATTCGTATGTTGTTGATTTATAAATCCCTTTGAAAACAAGGGATGTGTTTACTCCTCAGCTGTACATTTATGAACTTGCCAGACTCTGCTAATAAATGTAGTGCACGGCCCCTCCTGAAGAGCTGAAACAATTTAACTAAGTTCTTTTAAGACACTGAGCGAGTGCCAGTAATTGGATTTTTTTCCGAATTATGGTCATGAACTGAAATGCTAACTCGGTTTCTCTTTCCACAGATGCCTCCAGATCTGCTGGGTAATCCCAGCATTTCTGTTTTTATTTCAGATCATCAGCATCTACAGTATCTTGCTTTTTGGTTATATTTTCTCAATTATTTAAGTCACAATGGCCTCCTGTAAATTGACTAAAATATAAATTTGCAGTAACCGGTGCACAGAAAGGACTGGAAATGATCAAATCAGGAAATTGAAGGCTCCACACTATTCCCTATGTCACCAGAAAGTCTCATTGAGTACAATAAACCCATTAATAGGAAAATCTGTACAACTTTGAAATGTCTAAAAAAAGCTTCAGTAACGTTCTTGTCTGTCAATGGAACAAGCTGTAACTGTAGTTGAGAAATTAGCCAACAACTACTTTTTTAATCAAAAACTAGGCAACTGCAATGAGCAAGTACTTGCTGCCTTCCATTGAAAGAATTACAAGAGTGAACTGCATAATGATTTGCTATATTTATTTCCCTGACTTAGGGTGTAGATACAGTCACCTTACGACAAATATCAATAGTTTATCCAAACGTGTTGGTCCCAAATAAATACTTGGCTCTGAATTGCAATTTTATTAGCAGGTAGCTAATTAAATGTGATTTGGACTTTTTTTGCTGACGTGGAAGGTAAATGTCAGCTGTAACTTCAATACATTTTGAAAGCAAGCGTTCCATTGTCTTACACTAAAAGGAATTACCTCAGTATGAAATTTCACCTTTTATGATCTTTTGTGGAGGTTTGCACAATATTTTCGTCACCTAATTAATTATGGCCAGGAAATTCAATGGAGCTGTTCCCACTCCACTAGCTGCAATTTGGGAGAAGTTTGGCAGAAATTCTTTTAATGCACAAGATACAGGGCTTCCACTATACTTCTGGTGAAATAATGCCAGTGAAGTGAGAGTAACTTAACTTCCTTTAAAGACAAACCTCTATGAATTAAAATTAAATCAAAGAGATTGAAATTCCATTTGTGGCACTGTTTTGTTTTATCAGTTATTGCACTTTCCCATAATTCATTAGTGCCCTATTTTAATCATGCTATTTAAAGTAGATTATGTAAGAATTTTGTATGACTGTGTTTAGTGACATGCTAAAAGTGGTGTTGAACATAATTTGAACCTCTGAATCTGCACTGCCCCGATGTTGTGATTTTTATATTTACATTCTTATTTTCCCATGTTATTCAGTACCATGACTATGAGGCAATACGTTGCTTAATATGATCAATAATTTACCATGTCAACGAAATATCTCAGGGCTTAACATTATTTTGTATGTATGATTGATGATAACAGCTTAGTCTTACAGAACTTAAACATAACTGAAAAGAGGCACAAAGTCTAAGCTTTTCATCTCATAAGGACTGGGGTGCAAGAAACCAAACTTTGCAAGAAAACACAAATTTAGAAGGGGTGGTGATTGTTTGGACCATGGTTGCATGGAAATGCAGCAGAGTCTGGTATCTGCCTATTTCAGTTAGCAGATTAACTTCAGACCAAGCAAGTGGACTCTAACTGGTCAGGGTGTTACCATAGGGAATGAAGCAGGATTTGGCAGTCTCCATAACCATTTCTCAATGAAAAAGACCTTTAATGTACTGTTCTGTGTGTCCATTGCCGTAACATCAATTGCAGGATGACATGGTGGCTCAGTGGTTAGCGCTGCTGCTTCATGGTGCCAGGGACCTGGGTTTGATTCCACTCTCGGTGACTGTCCGAATGGAGTTTACATATTCTCCCCGCGTCTGTGTGGGTTTCCTCCAGGTGCTCCAGTTTCCTACCACAGTCCAAAGATGTGCAGATTTAGTGGATTGGCCATGCTAAATTGCCCATAGTGCCCAGGGATGTGCAGGGTGGGTGGATTAGCCATGGGAAATGCAGGGTTAAAGGAATAGGGTAGGCGTTAGGGTCTGGGTGGGATGTGCTTTGGATGGTTGATGTGGACTCAATGGGCTGAATGGCCTTCTTCCTCACAGTAGGAATTTTATGACTGTAATTTACAGAAATGGGTTCCAACATTCTTTCAATCTTTGTGTGATAAAGTTTCTTAAATACATCCTGTAAAGTCTGGCTCTAATTCCTAAGTTGTGCTCCCAAGTTCTACCCTCTCCAACTACAGTAAAAAGTTCCTCATTATGTAACCTCACAAGAATGAAGATGTTGCAATAGCCATAAGCTATTTACTGTCCATCATATTTTAACATTACTCATAAATATCCCATGATATTGCCTTTGGTAAGTCAAATTACAGGTTGTGTAAGGTACCATTCAATGCAGAAGACTACTTTGTTGCTGATGTGAAATTATTCCTTAAGGCCCACAGTCTATGAATGTGAAGTAAAAGTTAGAATGCTGGTTAGAATTCTCCAGTTTTAACTGGTAGCCGGTTGGGGATGAATAGCATTTTGCCTCTTGTGCAACGTATGTTATGTTTTGCTGACTGATTTTGTTTGCTTAAATTCTTTTCAGTCTGTGACACAGAAAACATCAATGTAACAGGCAACATATGTATACTGAAACACAATTGTTTCTCCAAGGTTTCCTCAGATCCCCAGTCACATTTATGGTAGATGATCATTAGCATCCCCAATCCCAATATCTTTATGTATAAAAATGCAATTAAAGAATGAATGCCTAATCTTAATGAAACTATTCGTCATGCAATATTCATAATATTTGAAATGATAGCAGAGGCATTAGTTCAGTGAATTCCTTGTGATTTAGAGATTATTGTGATGGTTAAATAATGATAGATTGTATCAGCAAAATGAGACTCTTGCTAGACTTTGAAGGAAAATTATTTCTGACAATATAAGGATGTCAATGGGAACACCTAATTAACTACCAGGTCTCTGTAAAAGTGGCTTTGAAGCCAACTGATTCACTGCTGTCGTTTAGGGAAGGACACCTTACTGTCCTTACTCAGTAAAGCTTGTATGTGATTGCTGTTCCATAACAATATGTTTGACACTCAAATGTCTCCCTGAATTGACCAATCACCTGCGGTGATTCAAAAAGAAAGTCTACCATCACCTGATGAAGGGTCGAGGCCCGAAACGTCAGCCTCTCTGCTCCTATGATGCTGCTTGGCCTGCTGTGTTCATCCAGCCCTGCACCTTGTTGTCTCTACCATCACCTTCTTAGCGTAACCTTGCCAGGGACACCCACATCCCCAGAATGTATTTTCAAGTCATGATTTTACTTCATTGAAATGCTGCAGAAATATTGAAAATTCACAAATAAAGGAGGTGATTACAACATCTTGCATTATAAAGAGGTAGTGTGGTGTGATACAGTACATTGGAGTACCAATGCAGACTCACTCCATTCACCTATTAAACTCTGCAATGTGGCTGAAGTCATGTGGTGATTGGAGCCCACAGAGCTTTGCCATGGGAAACGCAAAGTGTTATCATTGGGCTATTTATATGTGCACTTCTCAGTGAGAAAACAGCAGACGAAGAGGTATGTGGACAGCATCGCCGCAAAAAGTGCATAATTCAAGTAGGGACTGGAAGGAGGCACTAACTGTTGGAGAAATTAGACAGTAATGTCTTACATTTTGAAAGTGATGAATTAATGTATATGTATGGTACTGACACAAATACGTCTTCTCTTTACCTTGCAGCACTTATTTTATTTTTCTACCTTTGTTTATATTCCTGTCTGGCTGGAATGTTTTCTCTGTGCCTGTATGGCATGCTTACCACAATCAGTCTGTATACGCCAAGATATCGCGACCGAGTCAACAATCCAGGTACTTAACCATTGGCTGGACCTTACATTTCTCGGTTTGTTGAGGGAAGTCCAATGAAAACTCAGGGTGTGGCTCCCTCTTGCCACCACTGCCTCTGCACATCCAATTAAGTGTCAGATTGTCAATTCATGGCCATCCAATGGGAAGGAGGCCAATCATTGGCTGGTTCCTGACCATTAACCTTTCACCTTGTCCTTTGCAGAGGTTATCAGTGCCAAGTGTCTCACAGCCGTGTTCAGATGTCACAATATAGTCAGCTCTTGAGACTTTGAGATCTTGTATTAAAAACATTGCTAGACTTTTGTTGAAGCTACACTCACAGTGCATTACTAATCATATCTTGGTATAAACATATAACATATAGGTTCTGAGAATCAGCACTGTCAGCCAGAACAGCATGTGCAGAGGGATAATGCTATGGTCACTGCTGAAATTGTAAACCCCCATGCTTTCAGCATCAGTCTTTGTTATTCGTTGAAGGCTCCAATAATCATTTGACAGCAAGTCGTTAAAAATCACACAGAGGCTGCCCACGTTCCTCACCAGAATCTGCCTGTGCATTCAACCAGGTTCCCCACAGTATGGCTTGTCTGTTGCCCTTGGGAGGTTTTAATTTTAGGTTTGGGATCATTGCTGATCACCTCCTAGATGCCCTGGGTGCAGAAATGACCAATGCTTCTGGTGACTTCCTCCTGGAATGAAAATCTCACCTCATAAGTAAAGATGCATCAGCTCAGAAAAGTTGAGGCACTGAGTGGAGAGGGGCTCACCTCTTGACTCTTATACTGGGGTACGGGGAATTCGCCCGCAGTAAAGAATCCAGCCCAAATCATAAGGTGCACTAGAGATTATGGATAATCCAGTAGAAGACTAGAAACTGTGTTTGATCATCACGAGAATGTCCAACCATTGACAGATCATCTTGAAGTCATTTGCAGATGCAATGTTCAATTATTTTCATCCATTTATTGAAATGATCTAATTGTGTACAGATTGACTCCTAAAGAAATAAAACCTTTAATTAGTTGAAGTATAAATACACTATTATATGGAACGGTCAAGATTAGTGATAGATACCTGTTAGATCTTGTCTTGATGTTAGCTGCCTGGTGAAATTCTGGACTACCAATAATCTTTCGATTTTCCCAGGGGTGATGATAAGACCATATATTGGTGGATTTATGATTGCATTCAACTCATCGGAGGAGAGGACATGGTCACTTTATGTGCAAAGCCTGCATCAGTTTCTTGAATGTAAGTTTCTGCATCACTTCCTTAGGAGCAAAAGCAATAAGCGATCATCTAAATTATTTAAAATTACCAAACAAGTGTCAGGGGCTGAATTTTCATGTTTGAGGTAGGAATCGGCAGTCAAAAATTTTCTCGACTTGGGGATTCCACTTCTGTCCTAGTAATACCCATCCCCCATATGTGCACCTTGAGGTGGTGAGGATGATATGAAGAAGGACCCATCACCTTCAGAAGCAGGTGCAAGGTGGCAATAGAGACAGTTAAGTGCTGCAAAGGGCAAGTTAGAAGGTGTGCTTGCATCCTCTGGAATATCAGTCCTGTTTTCAACATGGTTGCAAAACTTGCTTCACCCTGCCCACTGACCACCCTTGCTCATTCACATCTCCCATGCTGCCACTGTACACCATCATGCCACCCATGGCTTTTCTAAGCCTCCCATGCATCCTTGATACCCACTCTTCCTGCATATTGCAAAGCAATTTTCTCATAGGGCTCATGAGTTCTGCTGATGGTGGATGCTGAAAGAATGTTTCAAAGACTTAATAGGTCTCTGGACTTTAAGTCAATCTGAAGATAAAAGCACAGTGTCTGGATGAGGCATTAAAGTCAGTTTCTCAGTGATATTGATATTGTTAGAGCCATTTATTCATGGGCTAGAGTACTTTGATAAATGTCAACATTTGTATAATGTTGGTCAATGTAATAGTCATTTACTGTTTCAGATTAAAGCAATTTGATCAATCATGGCTATGAAACCGTATTTAACTTTCCATACAGCATTTAATTCTGAGAGCTGAAGTTGGCAGGATCTTCTAAATGTGTCTGTTTAACAGTTCCCAACTCTACAAGGTCAGTGGAGTCTTCATGACATTGCAAATGTCCAGCTCCAAGTCTCCTAATTAAACAGACCCAACTGCAGGAAAATAGTGAGAGTTAGAAAATGTCCAACCCCTCAAGGCCAAGGGTGGAATTGCTGTAGGTGGCTCCTAAACCACATCCTTATCGCCGGGCCATAAAAATCCCACATACTGGGTCGGGAGGCAGCAATCCCAGAATCAGGTCCATGTTTATGATTCTGCCTTCGATCTGACCATTTAAGAAAATGAAAGGAAAATTGCCAAATTTACTGAATTGTAAGGCTGAACGTAAGTACTCTTCATTGATGTGGTCTTCACCGTAGTCAGTTTTCTGTATACAGCATCTGAAAATGTTAACCATTGATGTAACATCTTGCTGCTTGAATCATTTCCCTGCTCCCTCTCACTTTCTCCCATTGCGTCGCTCTTCTTATGATCTGTCCTTCCTCTCTAATCCTAATAATTTCCAGACCAACCTACATCCTACGATGTTCATTTTCTTAGAAAAACTGAATAGCCATTTAATGTTCGATGGAATGTCAATGTACAGTGATGCACTACAGGAACCTGTTTGTTTTTGCTTACTGCTATTTGCAGCAACTGCTGGCATCATTTTAAATTGAATTTACTGTTTGAAGGTGCCAGCAATAACAATAATATCCCATCAGAAATTGCTCCTGTTACTGTGTTTGGTAAGGAATATTGCATCTTTTTTGCAAACTATTGCAATAGGACTTCTGCTCTTCTGTTGAAGTAGAGAACAGTTTTTGAAATTATTTTGGAATCACAGAAAGTTGCTGGGAAGAAATGGCTCCTAAAAGTAAGGGTAAGGTTGCCGTAGTCCTGCCAGACCATGGGGCTGCTCTCTCATTAGAGAGAGAGACAACTGGTGTGGTTTCACCTGAGGGTCACCATGCCTCAGATGAGGGGAGGGCATGAAAAGGAGAATTCTTCATGGTAATCTCAGCTGGTGTGGGAATTGAACCCCACACTGTTGGCATTACTCTGTATTGCAAACCAGCCATCTAAACATAGGGGAGGCGATGGCCTAGTGGAATTATCATTGGACTGTTAATCTAGAGACTCAGATAATGCTTGGGAGACCCAGGTTCATATCCTACCATGGCAAATGGTGGAATTTGAACTCAATAACCATCTGGAATTAAGAATCTAATAATGACCATGAATCCATTGTTGGGGGAAAAACTCATCTGGTTCACTAATATCCTTTAAAGAAGGAAACTGCCAAGCTTACCTGGTCTGGCCGACATGTGACTCCAGACCCTCAGCAAAATGGTTGACTCTTAACTGCCTTCTGGGCAACTAGAGATGGGTAACAATTGCTGGTCTAGCTAATGACACCCTCATCCCATGAATGAATTTAAAAACAATGTATAGCAGTGCATTTTATTCACACAGACCACTTATCTCATTCAGTTACCTACTTGTTCTGCAGTCTCTTTCTTCATTTTAGTAATGAGGTGTCTAATTCCCTTTTTAAGCGCCAGGAGGCGCCACTTCAATGAGTTGCAGGTAGATAATTCCATTTAATAGCCACCCTGCAAATAATGACACTCTCTCAGTTGCTTTTTTTCTGTTATCTGAAAAAAATCTGTTGCTAATGTCAGCTCATGTTTTTTGAAATTTTCTTTTTGTTCTTACAGCCTACAATGACAGTATTCAGGCAATTAAGAACATTCCATGTTCTCCTGGGCAATACTTCATTCAAAAGAAGAATGAAAGTGAAGAACGGTTAGCTTGTCAGTTTAATCGGACCATGCTGAAAAACTGCTCCGGAATTGAAGATCCTACTTTTGGATACTCTGCAGGAAAACCCTGCATTTTTCTGAAGATGAATAGAGTATGTTGGTTTGTTGAGAAAACAGGGATCCATCATTACTTTCCCCATCATTTGTTGTAACAGCAATGGTGTGGGGGTGAGCAGTGGATGATGGGAGTGCTCTCTGCACAACCACTATCCATTTTGCATCAGTTGTTAAAATTGGTCCAAGTTGTTACATTTGTTTCTGTAGGTTTTATCCTATGGAAGTAAGGGGTAATTACGCCAGACTATCTTCAACTTATAAAAGACATCCACAGATGAGATCCATTGGGAAAGCTAATGCTTTTGTGACACAGAATGTTCAAAAACCATCCCATATGCAGATCCTAAGCATTCTGCATGACCTTAAACTGAGCTTCTGATCCCATGTATTGTCCTCTTTCATTTTCTATAATGTCAGCTGTCTCTGGCCTTACTGCAGTCCATTGCCACTCTAACTTTCATGTGTGACTTTGTTATTTCCGGACTCCATTACTCCTGTACTGTTTTGGTGGGCCCCCCCATTCTCCTCAAATGTAACTCGTTTAAACTCTGCTGTTTATATCAAATCCTACTTACGCATCACTCTTCTCCTTTCTGAGCAACGTTGGTTCCCAGTCCCTATGATTTAAAATTCTTACAAGTTCAAATTGTGAATTTGCCCCTTTCCTTTGTTTGTTAACTTCCTATTACCTTACAGTCCCTCCTCTTGAATATTCCATTCTTGAGAACCCTGCTTTCCTTCACCAGAGTATTGTTGGCCATGCCTTCAATCACCAAGGTCTCACATTCGGTCATTCCTTCACTAAATGACTCTGTTCCTGCACTTCCATCTATCTCTTTGACTTTTTACAACACGTCCTAATGTTTCCCTCTAAGGCTTGGCACCTGCTCATCCTCATTTCTGCCTGTGTCAACATTAAAGGTGCTGTATAAATACAATAAATTGTTGTAAAAGTTAACCCATCTCCGATATACTTTGTTTGGGCCAGTTTTATGTTCACTGAAGATTTATTGATACTTGTTTCTACATGCCAATAAATCTTGGAACTTCAATCTGCTCTGGAATTAACTGGTATCAAATATATGACTATTCTCTGGCACACACACAATCTGTTGATTAAATTAAGAAAGATGAAAGAATATATGTTTTCAAATGGCCTTTCCTGTCCTGAGGACATCTCAAGGTGCCTATAATCAATGATTTACAGGAACTACACATTAGACATAACATAGGCAAGTTGTCCATGGCAAAACCCTAAAAACAGCGTATTAAATAAGTGACCAGTTAGCCTGTTTTGATCTTGCTGGTTTTTAAAAACAAAATCTTTCTCAGGATGTGGAAAATACTAATAAGTCCGATATTTATTATTGCTGTGGTCCCAGTTGATGTAACAATAGGACAAGTTAGAACCCAACTGAAATGTGGCTTGATAGATCATATTTTGTTTTCTTCTAAGTTTTAATGAGATGGTATTTCACTGAAAGACAAACACACAATGCTGTAGATTTTTTTTAACAATAAAACAGACATTCATTGCGCAAAAGAAATGAGGATAGAATAGAATAAACCAAACTACTCAAATATCATACGTTTAAAGATTTTGAAACACGTAATAAAATTACAAGCTTCAAATAACTTCTCCAGGGTTTTAACCAAACATTTCTGGTCTGGAACTTTTAAACTAAAATCCTTACACTGAGGAAATTAATTTTAACAATTGTAAACTATCTTCCTTTCTTACACATCCAGCTTCAGCTAAGAACTCAGTAGAACTGCACAAACTAAAACTAAAAACTGACAGAACTGCAGATGCTGTAAATCAAAAACAAAACAGAAATTGCTGGAAAAGTTCAAGCAAGTTTGGCAGCATCTGTGGAGAGAAATCAGAGTTAATGTTTCAGGTCAAGTGACCCTTCCACAGAACTTAGGAAGGGTCACTCAACCCGAAACATTAACTCTGATTTCTTTCCACAGATGCTGCCAGACCTGTTGAGCTTTTCCAGCAATTTCGTTTTGTTTAAAACTAAAGAGTTGTTTTCCAAGCTGTTGGTGTTTCCCCAAGCCCAAACCAAAAGCTAGAATCTTCTATTTAAAAATATAATACACCGCACTGTTTGCTTTATTTGCTCATAAATTCTTCCAATAGCCGCCAAAACTATCTCTCTGGCACTGTTTTTTTGAAAGACATCGCCTTGGCTATATACTGAAATGTTAGTCATTAAACCTGTCAGACACACAGGAAAGCCATATGCCACTAGTTCAAATAAAAATGTTGAAATAAAAAATAAATGATATTATAATATATGTAAATCACACATGTTGCATCATCTTACCAATCTCTAGTTGCCCTGGAGAAAGGAATGGTGAAACTTCCTGATTCAGTGCAGTCCAAATATAGCTAGGTAGGGAGTGCCAAGATTTTGTCTCAGGGATGATAAAGAAATAATGTCATCGTCCAAGTCAGGAGGGTGTGTGATTAGAACGGAATTTGTTGGTGGTGGGATCTCCGTGAATCTTCCAAATGGAAAACATCTTGGTGATTTGCCGATGTTGTGGTATAAGTAATAGCCAGAACACAGGGAGAAAGTCTCCACTTATCTTGGAAAGGATACATTTGATCATTTATACTTACCACTGTAGAGACTGGGTTTAATGTCTCCAAGAATGTAGTATTCCCATAATTCAATGAAGCATTTATCCAGATCATACATGTAGTTTTCTGGAGTGGGGCTTTGAACTCATTTTCTTCTGACTCAGAGTCAGTGATCAAAATGACTTTTAGAGTCATAGACATATACAGCACGGAAACAGACCCTTCGGTCCAACTTGTCCATGCCGACCAGATATCCTTCATAAATCTATCCCATTTGCCAGCATTTGGCTCATATTGCTCTAAACCCTTCCTACTCATATACGCATCCAGATGCCTTTTAGTTATCAATTCATTCTCAGAATTTATTGTTTACCCTAAATACAAATAACATTCATTTTGTATTTATCAACTATTACTTCAATTTCTCTATTATGATACCTTGACTATCAGTTACTTCTGGAACTAGATAATAAATATTGTACGCCATTACAATATGTTCTATAATACAGGTTTTATATCTTAAACAATTGCATTATTTTATTTATTAACTTAATTTTCTACTCTACTTTCAGTTCATCCACCATTATTCAGGAGGTTGAGATGACCTGTTATTGTAGAATATAGAACATAGAACAGTACAGCACAGTACAGGCCCTTCGGCCCACGATGTTGTGCCGAACTTTTACCCTAATCCTAAGGTCTATCTAAACTCTATCCCCTACCTTATACTATCATCCATATGCCTATCTAATAGCTGCTTAAATGCCCCTAATGAGGCCGACTCCAGTACCCTCTCCGGCGATGCATTCCACGCCCCGACCACTCTCTGAGTAAAGAACCTACCTCTGACATCTACCCTGTATCTACCTCCACTCACTTTAAAACTATGCCCCCTTTTAGTAGCTATCTCCACCCTAGGAAAAAGTCTCTGGCTGTCCACTCTATCTACAACTCTGATCATTTTGTACACCTCTATCAAGTCACCTCTCATCCTTCGTCGTTCTAAAGAGAAAAGCCCTAGCTCTCTCAACCTTTCCTCGTAAGACCTTCCCTCCATTCCAGGCAACATCCTGGTAAATCTCCTCTGCACCTTTTCCAACGCCTCCACATCTTTCCTGTAATGAGGAGACCAGAACTGGACACAATACTGCAGATGTGGCCGAACCAGCCTTTTGTATAGCTGGAGCATAACTTCACGGCTCTTGAACTCACTCCCTCTATTAATGAAAGCTAACACACCATACGCCTTCTTAACAACTCTATCCACCTGGGTGGCAGCTTTCAGGGAACTGTGAACATGAACCCCAAGATCCCTCTGCTCCTCCACACTGCCAAAAATCTTTCCGTTAACCCTGTATTCTGCTTTCAAGTTTGTCCTTCCAAAATGAATCACCTCACACTTTTCAGGGTTAAACTCCATCTGCCACTTCTCAGCCCAGCTCTGCACCCTATCAATGTCCCTTTGTAACCTGGAACGGCCCTCCACACTGTCCACAACACGACCCACTTTCATATCGTCCGCAAACTTGCTAATCCACCCTTCCACTCCTTCATCCAAATCATTTACAAATAATTGTAGTGGCCATTATAGATTCAGGTGATTTTTTCAAAGTCTTTAGTAAACTATTTTCTGCCTCTTTCTAAGGAGATACCTTTGCTTGGTGAAATAACTCCACAGAGGCTGGTATCCCATCACCAAGTCACCCTTTCTTACACATAAACAGTCCTTGAATTTAGTACTGCCTCATTCAGAGTCAGCTACCAGTGTATCTGTGATGCTCATCCTGTTTATATGTCAGCCAGGGCTGGCTGTTTGGAGCAGTTAATCTGGTCCAGTCAGGGAACTCATTCTATGATGTCCACCTGGCTGACCTCGTTACAATCACTATATTAGTACCTCCATTGTGACAAGATCACAATGTGATAAATCACGGGTTCAAACTTGCACATTTGTACTGTTTACGTCCAGAGATTAACTCAGGCTAAGCTATTTCTTTTAATTAATTTTACATGAATTAGCATGAAGAACTTTTTAAAATTGGAAGAACGGTTTTCATGAGACTTTGAGTTTGCAGTAAGGAAGATGTGCCCTGCAGAGGAAACTGTTATTCTTATTCACTTTAACATATGAAATTAATATTCATGAGCAATGTGGCAATATCTGCTTCTTTTTTATAGATAATTGGCTATCTGCCTGGTAAAGGAACAACGCCATATGTGACCTGTGAATTTCTGGTGAGTGACATCAATGTGTAAAGTAAATCATGTGTTGAAATAGCCTCACCTTGAGTTAAAATACAGTTGTTAGCTTCGGATTCCATAGTGACATATAGACGCTGGTTAACACATGGTTCAAAGTCAAAGAAAAGGAACGAAACTGGAAAGACCACTCGGCATTGACGTCCACATTGGAAATGACAATGATGAACCCAACTTCGTCAATATTGCTGTACCTTTACTTTTGCTGGGTCAGTGTTTTGGAACTCCTTTCTAATAGCACTGTGAGTGTAGCTTCATTTCAAAGACTGCAGCAGTTCAAGAAGGTGACTCAACACTGCCTTCTTGAATACAATAAATACTGTCTAATGCATGACAGAAACATCCCATAAATGAATAAAATTAGTTCAATGGTGCTCAAAGATATTACACATGGTGATGTCTTAATCTGGTACGCCATTCAAATAATGCTGTCAATTGATGTTGACATGTAAAATTGTTTGTCTGCAATCTCAAGCTTTATAAAAATAGTTGGAAACTGGGGAAACTCGTCCTGAATTGGACCCTTGTAGCCAGCAAAGAGATAAGGAATTTTTGGCTCAACACTTTAGATCTGATTTGAATCAAGGTCCCAAGAGACAGTGCACCAAGCCACTACTACAACCATTGCCATTCCATATCTACTCCTTTTTATAACTTAGAAAGAACTTAGGTTTATTATATTACAATGAATGTAAATACAGCACACGTGCTGTGCTTCAAGTAATAAAAGTTTGTAGAAATACAGCATGAACCTTTGAATTTGCCTCTCTATAACTGGATTAATCGTTTTAAGTACTGTGCCCATTATTGAAGACGGGCAGTGAGCCATTATGGCACAGAGCAAGGCCGTTCAGTTTATTGAGTCCATATGATCGCATTTAAAATTATCAACACCCCTGAATTAAATATACTGGCTGCTGCAAGTTCACTGGGTTTCCCAACATAAATCTCTTCTTAAGGAGGAGTAGCAAGTGATCAATTTCCCCAAAGTTTTACTATCTGAAAGAAAACGTTAACATCAAAGAGCCTTTAAAAAGTATGGAACGCTTATAAAAAATGTTAGAGTTAGATCTGCTATAGGAGCCCACAAGGAATCGTCTGGTGTCAATGCCATCTTGCATCTTACCAACAACCCGTCAGTCTTGTTTCAATATTGTACTTTTATTTATTTTTCTAAACTAACTGATAATCTCTGGTTTTAAAATGCAATGCTTATGAAAGAGTTCTAGGCTCCATGCGTTGGCAGGTAGCTGAAGCCGAAAAATACAGCATGTTGCTATTTTTAAGTGTATTTACTGTTCTGAGGAGCACTTTTTTAAAGCTTCCCCAACTGTGCCAAATTCCAAGCGATACTTTGATATATGGCCCATTGACATGCTTTAGTTGAGTTTGAGTCAGTTGAGACCTTCATAAATCTTCCATGTTGTGCTTTCTTCTTTTTATTGTTGCTTTACTAGATCAAAACAATATGAGCTTTATTTACATTGTTTCATTTGTCCAGAGAGATGAGCTGATGCAATAGGTTAGCACACTGTCTTTAAACTCTGGAAGCTGGCAGTACAAACTAATTGGTTGAAAATCTCCTCACTCTCTGCATCTTGATGGTGTTTTTGGAGATATTAGCTTGGGCAGACTCAAATTGGTGCCAAGATGGCATGGTCCTACAACACAAACCTGTTCAAAGCAAATGATAAACAGTCCTCTAAGTAGGAAGGGGAACTGGGGAGGTTGCACAAGATGTGAAGATATTCCGACTGTGCTCTGTATGATCTAATGGGGGGTTTAAGGCACATTGCTAATGAAACATAAAGGTGAGATCTTCTCAGAACTTGGCTGCTGCATTCCTGACTAGGTGGTAAGTAGCAGTAGTAGTAAGTGCACAAAATGGAAAAACATGCAAATTTACGACATGCATTGATTGATGCCTGAGAAAGCTCACTGTTTTCTGCAGTGGAGGATGGATTGACAATAAGCTTCCTTCTACTGTGTATTAGTACATCACTGCTGGTGAAGTTTTAGGAACCTCTGCATGAGTTGGTTAATTCTAGTCATTGGTCTTCAGGAATAAACTACTCTCTTAGGTGTGACAATCTGAAATCTGAGCAAATTACCAATATTCAAAATATGCATGTTTTTGTGCCTTCATTGATCTGGAGATTCTATGTGTGGTTCACTTTGGTGTCTTGGTGTAACTCTGCTTGGAGAAGAGGTGGAAACGGCTGTTTTTTAGTCTCTGCTGAAGTGACAGCAGCAAACCATGGAAAACCATCTGAATATCAGTCAGGGCCATTAGCTCCAATGGTTCACTCTTTATTCTTCTAATATTCAGACAAAGTTAATTTAAATACTTAAAAATAATTCTAGCTGTCAAATGGCAAGTAGCCATTAATGCATTTTTCTGTGTTGGTTGACTAATTTAAAACCAACAACTCAAAAATTAACATTAGGAAAACGGTCGCCCTTATGCATGGTTAAATTAAAGAAAAACTCATCACTTATCAACTCAATTGCAGACCATTTCATACAAAAATGAAACCAAAATGTCTCAATATTACAAGCCAAACACTTAAACATGTTAGAGTTCTACCTAGTCTTTCTACATTGTGTAGAATGTATAATTTCTATGTACAATAGAAATTACTTATATGGTTTATCCAGAAACTACTACTGTCCATCTATGTAACAAAATGGTGTGAGCTGGAGAAACCTAACTGGTTAAGTACTGGGTGGAAAGTGGAGTAGGAACTTTCAGGCCTGCAAACTCTGTTCTATTTGATCATGGCTGAACTGCATTGTCATGTAGTTTAAACATCAATTGACCACATTAGTAGAAACCCTGGTTGGGAGCCCTTCAAAGATTCCAGTATTCCCAGCTATTTGAGAACATGATGCTTCCAGCCCAAGGTACTTCTGTATTTAAGGTGACCACTCTATTTTGATATATGCTTGCTAAAGCAAATCTTCACAGTACATAATGTCCTTTTGGAAATGTGGCTATAAGTATGCTCTGCTTCCTTTCAGAAAGAAAAGAAGAACAATGCTACAATTCACTTCTATCCAAATGATGGAACCTTTGATCTCACATACTTTCCTTATTATGGAAAACTGACACATGTAAGTGGATTAAAACCTTCTAACTCAGAAGCTGATTTTCAATGTTCTTTTGCTTCCTCTTGAAATGAGTGATTGATCATAATATTTACTGTTTTTTGACATTCCTTCTTTAATCCTGTGTGAACATTCAAGGCTTTGACAAAGGATGATATAGTATATTGGCCTTTATTAAAAAGAGTTAGGGATGTGAAAATAAGTAAGTCTTAATGTAATTATACGACCATAATCTATAGGAGCAGAATTAGGTCATTGAGCCTATCGCGTTTGCTTTGCCATTTGATCACAGCTGATATGTTTCTCAACCCCATTCTCCTGTCATCTCCCTGTAACCTCTGATCCCCTTACTAATCAAGAATTATGCACGGCTTTGGTGAGATCAGACACAGAGTATTGTGCATGGTTTTGGGTTGGTTTACCTAAGGGAAGATTTACTAGCATTAGATTTAGCTTACCACATGGTCACTAAATTGATGCCTGGAATGGGGGGCTTATCCTATGAGGAGGGATTGAATAAAATGGGCCTACGTTGCTGAGGTTTAAAAGTGGGAAAGGTGATCTAACTGAAACAATGTAAGATTCTTAGAGAGCCTTTGTTTATTCTTTTAATTGATTTGTACATTATTGGAACAGCCAGCATTTGTTGCCCATACTTAGACTGCTTTCTTAGAGGCATGTAAGAGTTAACCCGAAACCAATCACTGTCCAGAGATAGTAGGAACTGCAGATGCTGGAGAATCTGAGATAACAAGGTGTAGAGCTGGATGAACACAGCAGGCCAAGCAGCATCAGAGGAGCAGGAAGGCTGACGTTTTGGGCCTAGACCCTTCTTCAGAACCCTGCTGTGTTCATCCAGCTCTACACCTTGTTATGACCAATCACTGTCCACTTGGGTGTCATCTTTACACCAGACCAGATAAGGATTGGCAGAACTTCTTCCCTAAAGGTATTACTGAACACAATTATTTTTCATGACAATTAGTGATAAATATTGCGATCAATGAGACTAGCTTTTTTTTAAATTCTAGATTTTATTAATTGAGCTTATATACCACCAGTTGCTGTGATCAGATTTGAACTCATGCCTCCTGGATTATAGTTACATTGCCACTCTGCCACCATCCTGGCAGAGTAGCTGCTGAGAATAGTCTGTTTCTATTTCTATAATTTTATAGTTACTGATAAGAGGAGATGGAGAAACTTGATCAACTAGCACTGTGGTGACCCTAAGTAACCCAAAAAAGAAGAATGAGAGCAAAGTATGACAGATACAGCCAGAAGTTAGCCATAAGATCACATGATCATGGCGATTATCCAGTGAAACAATAAAGGTTAAAGAAATTGCATACAGCTCCTTCAGTGACTCTTTCACAGGAAGAATAGTCACTATTATTTCAAGTGCTCATTGTGGAAATAATCATCATTTTTTAACATCGCCTCCCAAACAGGATCTAGAAGACTTGTTCCTTCCTTAATATTTCATGGAATGTGGGTGTCAGTGGCTGTGCTAGCATTTATTGCCCATTCCTAATTGCCAAGAGAACTGTTAAGAATCAGCTGTATTGCTTTCAGTCTGGAGTCACTTGTGGGTTAGACTGGTAAGGACAGCAGCTTTCCTTCCCTAAAAAGACCATAGTGAACCAGATGCTTTTGCACAACAATCAACAATTGCTTATGGTGACAATTAGACTATCTTTTCCATTTTATTCCAAATTTTTAAAAGTTAAATTCTAATGTGCTAATGTGGGATTCAAACCCACGACGCCCCCCCCTCCAACAATAACCTGGACGACTAGTCCAGTGTCATTATCACTATGTCATTGTCTCCTCATGTCGTATGCATATGGCCTCATAATATAAAAGCAAAATATTGCAGGTACTGGAGAGCTGAAAATAAAAACAGAATGTATGAGAGAAACTCAGCAGGTTTGGGACCATCTGAGAGAAACAGTGTTAAGCTTTGAGTCTCGTATGAATCTACTTCAGAACTCTTATAGTACTCATGATTCAAAGCACTTAGTTAACAGTTAATGTTAATGGGAACAAAGAGGGAGAATCAATTTCCATTGGTGGAAGAGTCAAGAACTAGAGGATACTCATTTAAAGTGACTGGTAAAAGACCCAGAGAAATGAGGAAAATCTTTGTATGTAGCAAGTGTTTAGGATCTGGAATGTAGTGCCTTATAGTATGATGGAGGCAGATTCGGTACCGAATTTTGAAAGGGAATTGGATAATTATCTGAAGGAAAAAGATTTTACAGGGCTAAGGGGAAAAGGCAGAGGAGCTGAACTAGCTGTGTTGCTGCTACAGACAGCCAGAACTGTACAAGTGTGGAACCATGACCTCTGGCTGTTCACCCTCTCCGAGGAGAATGTCCTGCAGCCACTCTGTGACACCCTTGGTTTTGGCACCAGGAAGATAACATATATCCTTGAGCTATGACTTTGGCCACAGAAACACCTGTTTCCCTAACTAATGGATACCCCTATCACTACTGCTCTTCCTTTCTTCTTTCTCTCCGCCTGTACAGCCAAGCTGCTCCTGGGCCACAAGCCTGCACTCCCTTGGGGCATCAAAGCCTTCCCCCTCTATTTAGACTAAATTCCTCTCTAGCTTACTGGAACACCAGCCCAACAGGGTTCAGATGAAGTCTATTCCAATGGTCAGCCTCCTCCACTGGTGGTAGTGTCCCACAAATCCACTTCTCCTACACCAGTCACTCATTCACATTTATCTCTCAATATTATTTGCCCCAAGCTGATTTGCATGTGGCTCAGAAAGTCGAGATTATTATCTGAGGGGTTCTGCTCTATAATGAAGTGCCTAGCTCCTCAAATTGTTAAAACTTCATTCGTAGTTTTTCCTATGTTGTTCATCACTGCATGGACTATCATAGCTCATGCTGTTCTTCCATTGCAAGTTCCTCTCCAGATATTCTGAAATCTGGCACAGGGTATGCATTGGACTTTCAGTCTTAAATGGAAAGAATTATATCTATCCTCATAATAGTGCAGTCCCCTAGTAATTATATTCCTAAACATCCACCCTATTTGAATGGCTTTACTGGACCAGCCACATTAATACTCTAATCCAACATCAGGCTAGAGGTTGGGAATTCTGGAGGAAGTGACACAGAACTTGTTTCCTCAAAATCTGTTCACCATTTTGTAAGTACAAGTCAGGACTCTAATGGAGTACTCTTCATTTTGCTGGATGAGTGCAGCTCCAATAACACTCAGAAAGCTCAATAGTAGAAAAGTCAGAGTAGCTCTACTTGATTGGCACTCTCTCCATTCATTCCATGCTCCAGTAGCACACCATGGCTGCAGTGTCTACAAGATACTCTGCATTAACTCACCAAGACTCCTTTGAGAGCACCCCTCAAACCCACAACCCCAGCACCCAGAAAGATAAAGGACAGCAAATACATGGAGTGGGGCGAGACAGTGGTAAGGTCACAGAATAGGAATCCAGAAACCTAGGCTAATGCTTCAGGCTCACGGACTCAAATCCCACCGATGGTACCTGGTGGAATTTAAATTCAATTCATAAAACTGATTGTTGCAAAATCCCATCTGGTTTACTAGTGTTCTTTAGAGAAGGCAATCTGCCACCTTTACCTTGTCTGGCTGACATGTGACTCCGGACACAGATCAATGTGGTTCAAGAGTAATTAGGGATGGGTAGTGAATGCAAGCCTTGCTAATGATGTCTGCCTACCATGCAAGTTCCTTCCAAGTCTGATACGATTCTAACCTGGAATGGTGACTGGGTGAAAATCCTCGAACTTTTTATCTTTTCACTTTTAATAGTACTATGGGTATATCATTACCACATTCTGAAGGGCAATTAGTGATGGGCAATAAATGCTGGTCTTGCAAGCAACACTCACACCCCATGAATGAACAAGAAAAGAAAGTGCAAGGTCACATGTATATTTATAAAGTTAGTAACAGAATCAGGTTTTAAGTAATTATTCTACACTCACCACCTTTAATTAAAAGCACTTGAGTGCATTTTCTGATTTTCTTATTAAATCTTACGTATTTCCATTTTAGTGGCAAGAGGCGTGTCTAGAATAAAAGTTAGAGCTTGGATTTTTAAGAAACTCTGATGTTTCACTTCTTGTCTTTTAATCGTTCTAGGTAAATTATTCCACCCCCCTTGTGGCCATGCAGTATGAGAATATGAAGAGGAACAGCGATGTGAGCATTCAATGTAAAGTAAATGGGCCTGGCATCAAAAATGACATCTTTCAAGACCGATTTTCTGGCAGGATTGTTTTCACACTTAATATTCAAGAATAATGTAAAATGAAAGTTCCTTTGCGGAAGATGTAGACAACGGTGCAATATGTGATGATTTGATTTCTCTGCTGGGAAAGACTTGTATTAACTAGCATGATTATTCTACCAGTAAGGCTCACAAATATAGCAGCTTAATCCTTCCCCTCTTAAGTTACTGAACAGCCAAGAGATTTATCTGAAGATAAAATCAGACTTTGTTTGACTTTGGTTTTGGCAGAGGTCACTGATGGAACATATTTCTGTAAAGTTTCCACAATGTCAAATCATTACAACAAAACCAAACAATTGTCAAATTATAAAAGGTTAAGTTGTGCAGTTACAAATACTTTAATGAAATTATTATTGTTTTACTTTGCAGAGATATTTTGGACCTTCAGTAATTATCCAATGTTTTAATTTTGCCAGAAATGTCTATATTCTGCATGGAGAGGGAAATAAAAGTTTTATATTGATGAGTAATTTTTCGAGTTATTTTCTGTCTGGGCATGCCTAGTATGTACTGTATAAAAGATATCAGTGTCTCACCAGTCTCCATAACAAAAATCTCAAGATCAAACACTGTTTAAGAATAGCAGGATTGGGTAAATTACTTTGGTGTCCACTCATGCAAAACTGAAAGTCTCATAAGAACACAACAAATGACTGAAGGCAATGTTGATTCTTGAAGGATTCTTGCTTCTTAAATTTAATAAAAATCTAGGACATGAAAGTTCAAAAATGGTTGAATTTGCCTTTGATCAGTTAATGCTGCAAAATAACTTTTGCTAAAAACAAGGCCGAAAATTCTAAAAGAGAAAATGTTAAAAATGGGGTATTTGTAAATAGTTTGCAGCACACTCAGGAAGGTGTTCCACATTCAGGTCTGATACTCAGGTCCTGCGGAGTGGTGTTCTGCTTCGGCATCTTCATGGATCCGGCCCGGCTTCCTTGAAGCGGCTTCTTTGGTTTCCTCGGTGGCATGGTGATCCGGCCCGGGATTCGACGGTTTCAATGTCGGCTTTCTCAGCAGTGCAGAATGTGGTTCTTGTCTTTTCCTCTACCTTGGGAAGCCATGAGCTGTGAATTAAACAAAGATGGTCTTTGTCTTAACTTTTTTTGGTGTACGATCTCTGTTATTAATATAGTCGCCAGACTTAAATACTTTGCTGTATTTTTTGTAAAGATACAGGTGTACATGTACTTCTGTACATGGATAAATTACAGCCTGCCCTCCGGTGGTCTGTTATATCATTTCAGCTGTTGCTCTGTTACAGCTTTTCCAGGCTAATGCAACAGAAATTACACTTTATTGAACAATTTTAAAAGAAAATTGTAAAGACTATCTTTTAAGTTTTTTTTGTTGATTGTGGACAGAAATGAGAAAAGGACTGTTTTAAAGAACGAAGGATTGTGGAAAGGACTACAGCACTTTTTAAAAATCATAATACCCATTATAATAAGTACTGTTTACACTGGTGTTTGCTCAAGCAGTGGCAAGGTGTTTACTGCAGATGAGCGGAAAGCAGGGGCCTGTATAATGGGAGATTTGGCCGGCAACAAGTAGTTGATTGAGCTGTGGCGTGTTGACCGGTCGAAGACAAAGGCCGTCTGTCTGCACATAACTATTGCTCGTGGGTTTGAATGTTTGATCAGAAGCCATCAGAATTCTGGAAAGGAAGGCATGGCCCTTTCTCTGCAGTAAAAATAAGGAGGAAAGCCTTTTTTAAAAATTTCTTTCCAGTATTTGGGTGCAAGCTGTGGCTTTTCACGAATAAGTAATACACTTATTATGATAAGTGTGAACTAGTCATTTTGTGCCTCCTGTAAGCAAGTAGAAGTACTTGGAGGAGGAGGATTGAGGAACAGCACGTCCCTGACAAGCTAAAAGGATCATCTCAGTGAACAGGGATCAGTAAACTGTCTTCCCAGTCTTTCCTGCCACCCACAATACCCACGATTTCTTTTTATCCATTTATGTCTGCCTGTAAGGGAGGCATTGTATGAGGGGTTAGAGTTTTAACTAGAAGTGTTATATGTCAATGGTTCATAATTATGTGCCGGAACAGGCAGTCCCTGGGTTGCGAAAAGGTTCTGTTCTGGAGTCCATCCACAAGCTGATTTGTTTACAAGTTGGAATACAATGCAGGACAATGAAAAGCAGCTGGTCATAAGTACAAAATGTTTATATGTCGGGTCTTTAAAAATTAAAACCACGTATGGGATCGTGATCATAAGTATGAGTATTTGCAAGTTGGATATTCGTAAAGATTCATAGCTAGAATCTCCTGGTGTATAATAGTAATTATTATTAAGTACAGAAACTGGTCTGTACTTTCTGTTAACCTGGATCTAAAAGGTTGTGAAATTGTAGAACTTTTATAAAATCTTTATCTTTAGTGAGGGCTCCAGAAATAGTAAGGTTTGATTTTTATCATGCTTTTCTGCTGAGGCAAGTTGTATATAAAAGCCAATCCTTGCCTTCTGGTCTTGAAAACCCGCCTCTTTGTTGACAACAGAAGTAACTACAACTAGTTACTGTATATCAGAAATCTTTAGGAGAAATTGGCCTTTAACTGACCTCAGACATATTTAAGCAATCTCACAGAATCTTGTTTCATTTTACCACAGAGGTAATTTGGTGCATTATGTTTGTGCTGGCTCTGGCAAAAGCAATTCACTTAGTGTCAGAGATAGTAGGAACTGCCGATGCTGGAGAATCCGAGATAACAGGGTGTAGAGCTGGATGAACACAGCAGGCCAAGCAGCATCAGAGGAGCAGGAAAGCTGACGTTTCGGATCCAGACCCTTCTTCAGAAAAAAAAGGGTCTGGACCCGAAACGTTAGCTTTCCTGCTCCTCTGATGCTGCTTCGCCTGCTGTGTTCATCCAGCTCTACACCTTGTTATCTCACTTAGTGTCACTTGTGTTTCTCTTTAGCTCTGTAGAGCTTTCCTAAAGATAATTATCCAATTTTACTTTGAAGAGAACAATTGAATCTGTTTCCACCACACTCTCAGGCAGTGCATTCCAGGTTCTAAGCGGTGGAAAAAAGTTCATCCTGTCACTGTTGCCCCCGTTTTGCCAATAAATTGAAAATTCCTTTGGTTCTTAATCCTTCTATCAATGGGAACTGCTTCTCCTGATCTACTACATTCAGACTCCTCATGAGTTTCAGAACTTCTGCCACATCTCCTTTGAATTCTATCAATGGAGAACCACCTTATTTCTTCAATTTGTCTACATAGCTAACATTAATGTTGCCTGCAGCCATTCAAATGCACATTTTCAGCAATCTTTAATGCCTTCAAATCCTTCCTAAAGTCTCACGCTTGGAACTTAGGATCCTATACTCTAGTTGAGGTCAATGTTTGTAACAGGGTCATCATAAGCCTACTAAAACCACTAATATCTCCTCTCTCTCAATGCTAGTTTGTTCAAGTATATCATAGTCTCCTCCCCTGATTTATAGGCCTTCATCTCCCCTCTCTATTGTGAATACAGATGCAAAGTACTCATTTAAAACCTCAGTATGTCTTCCAGCTCTAAACGCAGATTGCTACTTTGGTCCACAATGGGCTCTACTCTTTCCCTGATTATTCTCTTAGGATTTCAGTCCCTAAAGTGCATAAAAAGAGGCCATTCAGCCTGCACCAACCCTCTGAAGACTATCCCACCCAGATCCAGACCCCTGAATCTATTTATGTAACCCTGCATGTCCCATGGCCAAACCACCTGCACATATTTGAACTGTGGGAGGAAACCCACACAGACATGGGAAGTCTGCACAGTCACCCAAGGCTAGAATTGAACCCAAGTCCCTGGCGCTGTGAGGCAGCAGTGCTAACCACTGAACCACCATGCCACTCAAATATACTTATCTACTTTTATATAAAAAGTATATTTATATACAGTACCTTTATATAAATGTACTTCTTGCCTCTAATGTACTTATAAAATGTCTTCGGATTTTCTTTTATGTCAGCCGCCAGTGCTTTTTCATATCCCCTTTTTGCTCTCCTAATTTCTTTATTTAGCAACTCTCTGGATGTTCTATATTCCCCTAGAGCATCTGCCGTTTTGAGTCTTGGGTATCTACTTTACAAGCTCCTTTTCTTATTCAACCCTGTACATCCCTTGACATTCAGGGCTCCCTGAACTTGTTGGTCCCTGACTAGCTTGGGTTCTTTTTCTCGACTTGTCTGTGCATAATCCTGTTCTGTACATCTGCTGCAAGTCCCACCCCACCGCCTAATTAGTTTTAAACCTCACCAACCACGCTGAAAAATCTCCCTGCAGAGGAGCTGGTCCCATTCCAGTCCACGAGCAATGCATCAGACTTGTATATGTCCCACCCTGCCCAAAAATGGAATGCCATGATCCAAGAATCAAAAGCACCCTCCTCCTCCTGCTCCAACTCTTCAGCCAAACATTTGTCTGCTTTATCTGCCTATTTTTATATTCACCAGCACTCGACACTGAGAATAATGCAGAGATTACAACTTTTGAGGTCCTGCTTTTGAATCTAATGAGCTCCATAAATTCTTATTCTAGGATCTCATCCCTCTTTCTGTCTATGCTGTTGAGTCCACTCCAAACTCCACTCTGACTTTTTGCCCTCCCCCTTCAGAATGCCCTACAGCCATTCAGTAACATCCTTGACCTATGTCCCAGGAGGCAAGACAGCATCCTGGAGTCATATCTGCGGCAGCAGAAATGCCAGTCTATATCCCTCACTGATCAAGTCTTCAACCACTATTGTTCTCCCACTCAATTTACTCTTCCTTGCGCAGCTGGGCTCTGGCTGCATTCCCCAAAGGAAACATCACTCTTACTGTTTTCCAACACAGAAAAATCTGTGTATCTGGAACTTTCCTGGTTACTTGCCCCACCTCCTTTCTTCTGAATGATGGTCACCCATTCCTTCTCTGAACTTCCTTAGGCTGGGATGACTGTGTCCAAAAACATGCGTACCCTTATGGATGTACTGCTGTGCTTCCAGCAATACTCAAGCTCCAAAACCTGGTGCTAAAGCTGATAAGACCATGGTATTTCCTGCAGACGTGGTTATCCAGATTGTCAGGAGCATCTATTATTTCCCATGTACTGCAGGTTGTGAAACAAACAGGATCGAGTTCCACTGCCAAACTCTTGTGGATTTTTCATTGCCACACCAGCT